GTCAATACATCAAGCCGTGTTTAATGTCACTGCATATAACTCCCAGATATAAAATCCATTCATATGAAGGTACTTCCTTCACAATGTTAAAATACTTAGTTCTTTTTTGGAAAGTTGTCCTATAGCCTCCAACATCCCGCTAAGCCCAAAAGTATTATTAAGTAGTATAAGATAATTTCATCATGAATGCATATGTCCTTTAGCTAATTTAGCAGTTTTGAACTTTCAAAGTACATCTCTGAATGCCATAAACTTTAAAAATAGCTGTGTAAAATTAATAGCCTAACCAGATAAAGTCAGTCCTTCCTCCCATAATGTTGCTAGGCAGATAAAAAAAAATGAGTGGGCTGCTTCACTCTGGCTCATGGATGATTTGTTGCTGGATTCTAAGCTGGCACATCTTCTAAGTTCATGCATGCTGCTGTTGTTAAGTTTCCAATTTGGTTTTAGGGCAAACCCAGCCTTTTAATGATAAAACAAATGCTAACAATACTAATATGTATAAAGGAGATGAATACCATGGTTACCCCCTTCTTTTTTCCAGCACCTCAAGATATGTTGCTACAACTGTAGTTTCTGCTATTTTAATATTTGTTTAGCAATCGAATAAAGGGAAAGCACTATTGCTAATTATGAACTGTTTGTTTTTGTGGGTGTTTTATTTTGGCAGAAGCTATAAAGAAAGCTAACTGCTTTGGTATTGTTTTTCTCATCATTTTTTTCTTCAGAAACAATCTGAAAACCACATGCAAATTATATTAACTGAGCAAATAAATGGCAGAATTCACACAATATATAGCCACAAAACAATGCTAAGAAATATTGTGTTGAACATGGTTCCCAACAAGGCAACTTTAGATTCTGTGTTCCATCTGATTTCACTTTTTAAAGATTCTTTCAATTCAAAAGAATAAGCTTGGCATGCTGTATTTCCAAGAAAATCTCTGAAAACCACCTAGACTCCAGGGGAATTCTTTTTTTTTTTTTTAATGAAGTAGAGTAGGCTACATATTTTGTTTGCTTGGAAATATGCCTAATTAGCTGCCTCCCTTCTACCAAAACATAGGGGAACTGGGATACTAGACAGCATCTTAGGAAAGACAGGAAGCAAAATTATTTATTAGATTTATATCCCATATTTATTTAATACAATTTGCCTTCTACTAAATGAGTATTTTATCACCGGACACGTTCACCAAGGCCATCATTTTGTTAGAGTGCCCACGGTCTTTGAGGTATGTCTTCCAACCATCAAAGACTGGAGATTCCTTGTTTAGAATATCTAAATCTCCTAGCCACTGTCTCTTAATTTTTGCACTGCATTTTTAATTTTATTTTTAAAAAATCAAGCATATACTTTTCAAGCTATGATTACAATGGATGGCTTATTCATTAGTTGAAGCAATTTATTGCTTATTCATTTCACTATTTAATCATAAAATTCAAACCAAAATTCTATTTTCTATTTGCGATATGAAAGTGAAATGTTTTTACCATCTTCTGTTATTAAAAATCAATCACTGTACCCATAAAAATAAACTCAATCTGTCTTGAGGTTGAAAATGCTAAAATATCAGTATAGAATTCTTAAATTTGGCATATTTGCCTTGGCTCAATTTTTGATGTCTATCTGTATCTCCTTGTGCAATTATTTTGTTGTTGTTGTTGTTGTTGCTGTTGTTGTTGTTATCATTATTATGTACATTTATTTTTTACTCTCAGGCAAATAAATATATCCAAACAAGTTTGGATTTGGTTTATTCGTCTCCTCCCTCTTTACACTTGCTTTTGTAATAAAATGAAATACCGGGATAATATTACTCTAACAACCACCAAATGAATACCTGGCATCATGCAGATTTCATTTTGGAATAGGTTAATTGTTCTTTAAATTTTTAATATACAATTTAGACTTGTAATACAAAACAGTGCCTAAGAAGACATCCTTACTAAAGCTAACTTATAAAACATTTGGTTTGGTTAGCTTATAAATAATTTATGACTTAATTTATCTGTTTTTCTTGTCCTCTTTCCATTCTTTTTCTTTTTTATATACAATCTATGTATGCCTAAGGGGAAAAAGACTTTTTTAATCTTCGTGCACTGCCTACAGGAAATCATCATAGGCATGCATTTGTATATCTTCATTCTAGCTATTGAAGAATACACTTTATCATTCCCCACACTACTATTACTATCACTACCATCACTACCACCAAATAACTTCCAAATAAACCTGCAAGTGAATTTAATATTATATGAAGAGCCAATTTCATCTAATACAGGGGCTCCCAACCCCTGGTCCATGGACCGATACCAGTCCGCAGCCTGCCAGCAACTGGACAACATATACAAGCAAAGCCCCACTCGTGGGATGCAGGCAGCACACAAAACCATGCACTCTCCGATCCGTGGAAAAATCTTTCTCCATGGAACCGGTCCCTGGTGCCCAAAAGGTTGGGGACCTCTAACCTAATAGATAAAGTTCTGGAGAAGGAAT